AAGTATAAATAAAATTTATACAACTTATTTCTATTGTTATTATGATAATTAAAATATTGTTAAATTAAAAATTGTTATAATTTAAGGTAGTCGCTCTTCAGTTTTGTTAGAAGATGCGTCTGTACGAACGAAAGTATGCTTCGTATCTCTTACAAGATGCCAATTATGAAGTAGCAGGCTAGGACTAAAGAAGAAAAAAGTATTTTTAAACTGAGAAAAGTTCAAGTTCAAGCTGAATTTTAAAAAAGGATGGGTCTTGTCATTGACCAACCAAGAGTTGGTGGGGCAGGTACATCTAACGATGGTAACACAGCTAGGCGATTTTTTCAGCAATACGATGTCTCAGCTAATATATTGAACATGGATGCAAATCTTATGAAATGGCTTCCTTTTATTCAGGCCGCAATGTAATGTGATTATAATATTAGCTCATCAAAATTTAAAACATTCTGTTGGGAAACCTCTTTGCTATATATTGACCTGTTTATTCAAATTAAAACTCTGCGAGGGAAAACTTTTGATCTTTTTTATTTTGTTTATCATGAAATTTTGCGTTACGTAAATTATGGACGATCCCTTGGTATTTCTTTACTTAATGAATAATATTTTTTTGAGCTTACTTAAAGTGCTCATATAATCAAGTGGCCTGGTTAATATGAAAACTTTTCTCACATTTTTAAAACCTCTGTTTTTTTGTTGGTATCCTATGACCCAAACTACCGGAATTTATAAATGGAAAAAAAAAATCATTAAAATTTATATGAAAGTTTTGGACGACATTTTTGAAAGGATCTAGAGTTTTGAACGATATTTTTGAAAGGATCGCGTCTGAAGCTTCGCAACTCGCCCTTCAAAACAAAAATTGCATAGGATACCCTTGGTATCCTATGACCCAAACACTTTATAAAGTTTTGATTCATGAAGTCATTGAATTATTTACTCTTGCATTAGGTATGTTTTCTGAAGAGGGTCAAGTGGCTACCAAAAAGTTTTTTAAGATCTTTCGTGAAAATTCTACAAGAAAATGCGATCGGAAAAAAAAAATAGTTTAGAACATTTTTCACCGTCTTTTATGAGCATCTGATCCTTTAATTTGCATATTTAGAAAGAAGATGCATAACAAAAAAAAGTCTACCATCTGGTGTCATTGAGTTATTGCATGAGCCAACAACATAATAATCTACTTAAAATGTAAATTTAAATAATACCTTTGTTGTTAATTTGTTATATGATTTAACGGAAATTTTTAGAAATACAAAAAAAAAATTTTTCTTAAAATTCTTTACCGTTTATAATTTACAGCAATTTGAAGTTTTCTTGATTTTGACTAAAAACTGAGGGGGGAAAAGTGCCGAAAATCATTCCGTTTACTTTCACCTTAATATGGTGCTTGTAGTGATGCCACAATTCTGAAACTTTGTACCAAAAAAGTTTAAAACCTGTTAAATCCGAAAAATATAGTTTTTTATATGTCAAAACAAGGGAATGTAGCTTATTTTAAGATCCATAAAATACACTTTATAACGCCGAGAAAAAAGGGCATTGACAATTATAGCTATAAAAAAAATCTGACTGATATCAAAAAAATTTAATTTTAATTTTCTTAAATATAAGATCAACACCTACTTTTCGAACCAATTTTGTTTTGGCCTTATATTTACTTGAGGAATTATTGATGTTTGATATAGACACAAAACTTTTTAATGTTTTTTAAATTAGACACTTAATATAACCCCACCTTTTACCAATCAACCAAATTAGAAACTAAAAATTTAGTGACTTTATTATCTTTTTTATTTTCATATGATATTTAAAACAAAATTTAAACGCATATAAACTTTTTTTTAAAAATACTAAACTTTAGTGATTTTATATATGCTTTACATTCACATTATTTAGAAGTTGGTTAACAAAACATAATATTTAAAAAAAGAATGGATAAGACATAATAGACTCATAAATATAAAAATCTCTACTTCCTTAGGAAATTAATTTTTTTTAAGTCCTCTTTGGCTAAATAGTAGCAAAGTCCTGTTTTTGTTATCGGTACCTCAACTTTGCAAATAATGTGGACATCAGGAATCCAATACATTGTTAGTGGAGATAAAATATGATTACCCATATCTCTTTGCAAACTTGCTAGTGTTGACAGACGTTTGACTGTACCACCTATCCCATCACAAGGTTGCTTACCGTGACTAGTTGCAAAAAAGTTCCATTTAGCAGTAAAACCAAAATCTTCACATGAAAAACAAAGATTTAACATATTTTTGCAATTCTTATATTGACCTGCACACCCATCTGAAAAGTATTCAATACTTTTCAGATGGGTGTGCAGGTCAATATAAGAATTATTGTTGTTTTTATATCATTGTAAACAACCTTAATAATTTTATAAACCATGTTGACATCATGGATCATATCATCCGAAATAATACAATAGGATTTGTGCTTGAGAATGCCTTCTTTTTTGAAATAAATAATCACTGGATGAAGTGTTTATTGTAAATTTGTCCAATGAAAGCTTTGCACTTCATCCTGAACTACAAATTTATAGTTTTCTGAAAAATCACCCAGAAATAATGCTGTTACCTCATTCATATCTACCTTTCTTGATCTCAGGTATAATGCTTGACTCTTTGCTAAATACAAATGTGGTGCAAGTTTTTCCAGTTTTCTACATACTAGTTCAATGTGTTCAAACACTGGCTCTTTATTATGTGTCAAGTTTGACCTATCTGTTGTTGTCCATTGATCAAATTCAATCTCATCATCATCTTCAAATTCTCCAAGTATATCATAAAGTTTTTCAACTAATTCATTCATAGTTGCTGGGCATTTTTCACATTTCCTCATAATACAGTCTTTATTAGTTATATCACAGACAATATAAGGTAACAATTCTTTGTATGTCACACCAAGAGGATGTAAAAGCAGTTTCAAATTCTGATGAATAGCACAGACGCATACAGAATGTGTTCCTGAGGCACCAACAGTAATACACATTTAGGTAGCAAGGTGCAAAACCTTGAAAATCCTATTTTTATTTCTGGGTTCTTGCTTTTAAAGGCAACAAACAATTCCTTTAAATTACATAAGAGCAAACGTTTTTGCATGTGGACATTTTCCTTTATGCTTACATAGTCCTTTTTACCAGGCATTATACGACTATGTTCATCGTCTTCGTAAAAGGTCTTGACCAGTTGAACTGTTACATCAGGAATAGCTTTTCCTAATTTAGGATTAGGCATGGTTAAAATACCTTTTTCTAATGTTAACTTACGTGCAGTTGAAGCTACATAGCTTGTTACATGCAATGTTTCAGATACCTTTTTTATTGACCAGTCTGTTGGAGCAAGTGTCGCAAGTTGTACTTTTTTGCATGTTGATGTAGACTCTGCAATTTTGTTAGTTAACAATACTATCATGTTATAAAACAAGTTTTTCTTTTTCCATATACTCATTATTAAAACTTGACTGTTCTTCAAAACTTTCTTCTGATATATTAAGGGAAATGGCTACCATTACAGAGAATAGTGGTAACTTTATACTGAAATATATTTAAAATTTGTTCAACCTTTTACAATTCTTTAATACTTGCTGTGTCCAGAAAAAAAGGTGCCTTATGTTTATAGTTTTACATAAAAATAAACAAATTATTAATGATTAAGTTATATTTTTTAAATCCTGTACAAAAAAGATAGCAATAAAAATAGCTTCATTTTTAAACTTTTCTAATTTTCTGAGTTATGGATTAAATTTAGCAATCTTCCTTTACTGTATCTGTCCCTTGCTTCTCACATCTAATCTCTTCCTCAATCTTTATAGAAATTATATTTATCTAGTTTTTTTTCTCACGCATCAATGCTTTAGAATTCTCTCTTGTCTTGATCTACTTAAGCCTCATTTAATTTGCAGTATTTTAAATCTTCTTGCTCTTATTTGCTTGTTCTTAATATCCTTTGTTATCAAGTAACATCTAACTTAAATAATGCTTGATTGTAATTTGCAGGGAGCTCTAGAATTATTAATAAATTTAATACTGTAGAAAAGAAACCCTTGTGTCCCTATCTTGTGTGCATTCCCTATCTTGTGTGCAGTCCCTATCTTGTGTGCAGTCCCTATCTTGTGTGCCGTCCCTATCTTGTGTGCAGTCCCTATTTGTGTGCAGTCCACTATTGTATGCATTGCAGTTTGATGCACTCCACAATTGTATAAGATAATCTCAGGTGTTCAAGATCAGGATGATTTTTACACTTTACAAAATAATAAAAGTAAAATGAGCTTGTTTTATTTTTTTAAGTTAAATTTATAAGCTGTTTTATAAGGATACTTTGGTTTTTAGGTTGTCGTGTAGAGACTTTTAAGTTAGGATTTATAGTCAGGTGAAAAAATTTTTTTACCTGACTATAAATTAAAATATGAAAAAAATTGTTTTTAATAAATCATAAATTAAAAATATAAAAGGAATCTGTTACAAAATGCTATTTACTGTTTATGCTTTCCTTGGTGGAATGTGTTTTTTCAATTTCTACTTTGTTTTTTGTTAAAATTGTATCTAAAATAATGTTTCCATTTTATGTTATATGGCTTACTTAATAAGGCCCTTTAAACTGTGGCTTAAAAACTTTGCTTCTTTTCCCTCTTACATCAAGAAATAAAACTTTATCTCCAACATTAATATTTTCTTCGTTAAATTTGATGTTTTTCAAAACTCTTTTATCTTAGTACTTTCTTTTTCCCAATTGCTTCTTCAATGTTCTAAAATTTATAAGTATTGTAATTAAAATTAAAAAATTGAAACAAATGGATAAAAGATTGGATCTCAAAAATTAGACTAAATTTAAGTGGCAGCAGCGATTACCTTATTGAAATTAAAGTTAAGTTTTCTATATAAATTTTTTTTTTCGATTCTAGCCATTATGTCATCTTCATTTGTGGAAAAAATATTGATCTCTTAAATGAAAAAGTTTGTTTTTCACGTGTATAGTGAATACACTGTCAAGTTAAAGTGATATATATATATAAAATAAGTGTGATTGGTGAACATATTATCCCAAATATACTTACTTCTTTAAACTCACTTATGCAAACAGGTGAACGACCACCAAATATCAACTCAAAAGGTGACACTTTTGTAGAAGTTTGCCTTCTAATATATAAGGGATAGAAAAATGTCAAGATACTCATCCCAGTTTGACTGAATTTCCTCAAGTTTTCTGATTTTTCTAATAAACGTTATTTGAAAGTAAATACGTTCTTTTCATGACTATTGTGACTTAAAACAATAACAAAATAATGCATACCTTTTTATACTTTTATTTGTATTTTCATCTTGTTCATTTGTTTGTGGGTGATAAACAGCAGTTTTTTGTCTTTTTATACCCAAGATCTTATATACAGTACAATTCATGAAGTATTTGTTACCCATTGATGTTTCAGTAAATAGTCCAGCAAAGTCTATACCAATAATTTCCCATACACTTATCGTCTAAACAAGATATTTCAACATAATGCAACATAAGAAAGTAAACATGATATATATACTTTTGTATAATACACTAAATAAAGTACTTGTGTTTCTAGAAAGATGTTTAAAAACACTTTCTGAAGTTACCTTTATGGAATGCCAAGGTTCGGACACTGAAAGCAGTTGACCCAAAGTTTGTGTCAACTATGGAAATAATTGTCTTTATTTCACCCAAAGTTTGTGTCAACTATGGAAATAATTGTCTTTATTTCTTTTTTTAAAGTTTTATGTTAACTTCCCAAAACAGATGGAAGTAGTTTCACAACTCAACTACAATAATAAAGTAAAAATAATATATCCAATTGCATTAATTTATAAGCAAAATACTTTATCCATTTTTAATATCTTCGATAATATTAGGCCAATAATATTTTTCCAACATTTTCATAATTGTTTCGTTTGTACCACCATGGCCCTATAAAGGACTGTTTTATTCTGCATCAAAAAGTTTTTCTTGTTCTTTGACATCCACAACAATATCCGCATAATAAAAGTTTCCACAAATCTTCACTTTAGGCTTCAACTTATTATCTAAAATTAGAAAATATTTAGCAAACATACTTCACATTTCAATGAAATAATTACTTGGTTTTTTATTACCCGTACCTAGCACACAATAACATTTTGACACATATCTCAGACTTCTTTTTTCATCATTTCAAAGACCAGCTGGATAAGTGCTCTCTGTTAAATATATTAATATATTTTTATAGTAATTTTCCTTTTTTTCCATCTTTTCCAACTCTTGAGTTTTTCAAAATTTTAAGGAGTATATCAAAATTGTTTACATTTCTAAAATCAGGAACTATATACATACATATTCCTAAAAAAATCAATAAGTATGTCATAATAACTCAAAAAGAAAGCAGTTTTAATAACATACAGTGTTAGTACATTATTCTTTATCATTTCATTTCAGTATGATATTTGATGTTTCTTAATCTGAATTGCAAATCTGAATTTATCATAAAAAATAAATATAAGTCAATTTTTTAACCACCACTTTTGAAGTTCTGTATAATTTTACTAATTGTTAACTGGACTAAATTTTATTAATTCACTGAGCTGGCAAACATGGAGTAGTCCTGAGAAGACTTAATAATCACATTATACTATTATACCAAACAACGCCAAAAAAAAGTTAATATTTCCAAATAATTCTTTAAAATTGTTCCTTTATTAAGAAAAGAAGACGCTTCTATTATTTAAAAACAGGATCTGAAAAAGTTATAACCTTCCCTAGTCCCCATGCCTTAGCCCCATAGGTGAGTGTAAAAGATAAAAATTTTAAAATATACAAAAAAATGAAACATGACAAACCATAATTATTTATTTTTCTCTAAAATTTTCTGTATATAAAAACTAGTAAAATATTTATGCATTAAGATATGAAAACATAAGAATAAAAACTTGTTACTTAATTTCATTGCTTTCATTTTGAATCTTATAAAAACTTTAACTCCTTCAAAAATTTATATATGTCTTTGTTGAACAATTTTGAATGTTTTAATTATATTTAAAGAAAATAAAAGATTAAATTAAAAAATTTAAAAGATAAAAAAATACTATAAAATTTTAAAGTTCTTAATTTTATTAAAACTATTTTAAGATCTTTTAATAAAAGATCTTTAAATAAGCATACATTTTTGATGTGATATTTGATGTATAAATTACTTAGGGCCTAAGTAGTTTATACAAAATTTCAAACAATTAGTATTTGGTATCTAGAAAATATCACATCACCCTATCATAGGGTGATGTGACATTTTAAGTAAGATGTATATCTCAAACAGTGTTAGCTACTTTTTGTTTCTTGGGGGATGTAGTATTTTAGAAGCCTGCATAGGGCCTAAAACACTACATCCCCCTAACTTAGGTTGTATAACCTGTTGTATAAATTAGTTACGGGCTAAGTAATTTATACAACATTTCAAACAATTAGTATTTGGTATCTAGAATATTACATCCCTCACTTGTAATTTATATATATGCTTCTAAAATTTTATATCCCCTAAGCAGTTTATACAATATTGCAAAACATTTGTATTTGGTTTCTGGAATAACACATCTCCCTGCGTAATCTCTATATATATATTACAAAAAGAAGCAAAATTCCTACTTAAAATATCACATATCTCTTTTACGTGAACTTCTAAAATATTACATCCTCCTAAGTAATTTATACAATAATTCAAACGATTAATAATAATTGGTATTTAAAACATCACATCCCTTATGTGTAATCTTTTTTTAACTATTGTCACGCAATATATAACGATCAAAATTTTATAAGTATGAATTTAAAATATATTACCATTTCACCCTCTTTTTATTTTAAGTATATTAATAATAATAAAAAAAAAATTATTTTAAATATATTATTAATAAAAATATTTTAAGCATATTATTGATAAAATAATGCTTATATAATTGAATGTTTCGGACGTACTTGATACACTTTTCGATTTAATTCACCGTTCCTAGCTCGACGTCACGAAATAATTAAGAGTTGTTTTGATTTCAAATCTGCCATTATGGAGGACAACTAAGTTAGCGGAACTAATATATTAATTATAATATTCATAGTTTTTTCAAAAAATATAATATTTTATAAAATTTAATGTATAATTAGAATAAGAAAATATAAATCCTAATCTGATTTATTTAGTTATCATTTTTTTATTTTAAATTATAGTTTAATATATAAATATGCAAATATTGTAATAATAAAATTATAATATGGTCAACTTTTGTGCTGTATTTGGATGTTCAAATCGTTCAAATTGTGAAAAGGGAAAATCTTTTTTTCGTTTACCAAAAGTAGTTTGCAATTAAGGCGATGATGGTAAGATTTTATCAAAAGAATGTAGAGAAAAATGGATAAATGCCATAAACTAGGTACGTGAGTAAAAATTTCAAATTGTTTAAATATTCTACTGTTATATATCATTGGAAAGAGAATCAATACAGTATTTTAAAGGTGAAAAAATTTTAAAAATCGAACAATTGGTTCAAAAGTTATGACGGTTTAAGTACCGATTTTTTGATATATGGAATTGTTGAAGAAACTGTGGTCAAAATTATGTTTTTCCTCACTTAAATTGTCATAACTTTCTTAATTCTTATCAAAATACAAATATCTTGGTGTCAAAAGATAGGTGTGAGAGTGGGCTACAAATTTTTGTTAAACTCTAACCACCGGGCGTATCGGATGGACGGAGGGGGCACCAAACCACTACCTTACCCTAATGAAACTGAACATTTTTTTCAGAAAAAAAGTTTTTTTTCAAGACATAAGTAATTTAAATATACAAAAAAAGTTGTTATAAAATTATATTAAACCACCGATTATATGAGAGGCGTATGTTAACGATGGAGGTGGGTGCGGTGGTGATGGTTTGATACACCCTAGCATCAAAAATAACTTGTTTTCATTAAAATTTTTATCTTTACTACATTGAAATCAATAGTATACATAATAAAACTATATTTTACAGGAATTCAAATACACAACTTGCATTGATGTACGGAAGGGGCGTGTAACCCCCTCCCCCAACCTAAAAAATAAAAAATAAAAAATAAAAATAACAAAGCATTATACATCAATCAAAATCAAGAAACATTTAACACAATCTTAAAAATAAATTTTATTTAAAATCATATTGCAGAGTTGAAACATATATACTAACCAGTTAGAGCAGATGATGGCACTATAAAAGAAATAAAAAAGCATTTTACACAATCTTAAAAATAAATTTTATTTAAAATCATATTGCAGAGTTAAAACATATATACTAACCAGTTGGAGTAGATGATGATGGCACTAAAAAAGAAATAAAAAAGCATTTTACACAATCTTAAAAATAAATTTTATTTATAATCATATTGCAGAGTTAAAACATATATACTAACCAATTGGAGCAGATGAAGATGCCACTAAAAAAGAAATAAAAAAGTATTTTACACAATCTTAATAACAAATTCTATTTAAAATCATATTGCAGAGTTAAAACATATATACTAACCAGTTGGAGTAGATGATGATGGCACTAAAAAAGAAATGAAAAAGCATTTTACACAATCTTATTGCAAATCATATTGCAAAGCAAAAATATACAACCTTACCAGTTAGATCTGTGGAAGGTGGAACTAAAAAATTGAAAACATAATACAAACAAAAATCCTTAAATTATTTTGCGTTTAAAAAATGCTGCAAAATTATAATATATTTATTCTTACCAGCTGAAACAGATAATGGTGGTACTAAAAAAAAAAAATCATAATAATTTATTATTTTCATAATTACCTTGCTATGAAAGTCTTATTACAAAGTTAAAATAAATAAACTTACCAGTTGGATTAGTATAAAATATATTGCATGATTTTTTTTATTAAATCATGTTACAAAGTAAAAAAATACAATTTTTAAATAACTTTAAAATATGGAAGCATATAATACACATACCAATCTTGAAGTTATTATTAAAATTTGAATATTAAAAATATATTAAAAAGTTAAAATAAAAAAACCTTACCAGATAGAGCAGCTATAGATGATACTTCAAAAAAAAAAAAAATGTAATGAACAAAAAACTTACTCTTGCAATTACTTTGCCATATAAATAATTTTGAAATATCATAATATAGAAACCTTACCAGCTGCAACAGATGACAAGGATATGAAAGATTAAATAATACAATGACACAAAAAATTAAATGGTACATGTAAATATTACATGTTAAATATAAATACATAGTACATATTAAACATACAATAACATAGTACATATTAAATAGTACAATACTGCATAATACACAAAATCAAACTATATTTCTCAATACTTAAACATAAAAATACACCTTAATCTCTTACCAATTAATGAAGTAAGTGTTGCTAAAGAATTAAAAGGAAAAAATAGTAACAATAGTAATAACAATAGTTTACTAAAATAAACTTAATTTCAAGTTACACTTTTCGTTACATCTTTAGTTAGCGTGTGTCAATAGAGTAAACAGCTTTAACGTGTATCAATTAAATAATAATCTTAGCATGAATCATTAAACTATACTATTGAAATTGTTTAAATTTATTAAACTTACAAAACTGCTGTCTGAATTCGCCTAAAAGCCAATTTAAATATACTAACTTTATTATAAAATTAAATTATCAGACTAACATTACAAAAAAAAAAAGTTCAAATGACTAAATAACTAAAATAGTTCAAACTTTACTTACTAATAGTTTGTTCTAAATTGTCTATAGAAAAAAAATAACAATGACTCAATAAAAAGCAAGAAATAATCAGGAATATACAAAATAAACAACTGTGAAAAAACTTTGTGGATGCACAAAAATCGGTACAAAACACATAGCATAATAAAGATATATATTTTAATATTGAGAGCAAAAGACTAAATACTAAAATAATAAATCGCCAAAAAAAACTGACTTATCCTCTCAAAAGCATCATCTAAACAAAAAATGAAAAACTTTTTTTAGCAAAATAATACAAACATTTGAATAAATACTGATCTTAAGTTAAAAGAAACTAATGAATATTTAATGTTTAAAATAACTAACTGATATTGTTGGCTGCTGCCGTAGGACTGCTTTGGGCAGCTAAACAATATAACAAATGTTCTTGATTATTTACGTTACATTTATTATACATAAAAGTTGAATAAGGTTGCTAACATATATTAGTTAAATATGACCATATTTAATTTATATTATTTGTTACAGTTGAAAGATTAACAGTTAATCATTAAAAAAAAAAGATGATTATCGTGCATCTTTTTATAAAAAAGTCTAGGTAAAAACTAGACTTTTTTCTCCAATAACAATTACAATATACTACTTACTGTTGTATCATGATGATACAACAAGACTCTCCAATAACAATTGTAATATACTACTACTAGTAGTAGTTTATTACAATTGTTATTGGAGAGACTAATTGTTGTATCATGATCATCATGATACAACAATTTTTTTAATGATTACAATGTAAGATAAAATATGTTATAATGTTACTAATATGTCAGTTACATTTTTAAAAAATTCAACTTTCAAGTAAGGAAACATTAAAATTCAGTTAAATTAAATTATTTGCCTTCAATGTAAAGTTAATAAGTTTCAATAACTTTACATTAAAGGCAAATAACTTTTTTAAAATTTTAATAAATAGGAAACAATATTGTAAACCTTTATCAACATCTTTATTTTCCATTTTATTTAATCTAAAAAAAAACTGAAATTTTATTTAATCAAAATCAAATGTAAACAATGTTTATTTAACCCCTCTGTCTCCCGCGACCACTTCAGCAAAATTGAAAATTAGGTAGGAAAAGTGCGACAAAAAATAGACACTCTGCTACAACTTTTTTTTCAATGAAATTTTCCAGGTGCATAGATAAATGAAAAACTTAAAAAAAAGAATAGTATAGAAAAAAAAAAGAGCATACCTTCGACATTAATTTCATGCCCAAAGTACAACAAAGTTTTAGACATCAAAAAACTCAATAAAAAAGCCATCCAGTAAAATAATGAAGCTCACAGTAATAAAGATTAACTATTCAAGTTTCTAAAAATAATCTATATTGATATCAAATTCTAAAAAGTTTTTTAACTAAACACGTCTTCCCAACGCTAGTTAAAAAAAAATCTAAAAAGCGTGGCACAGTTTTTTAGCACATAATTCGGTTCCGTAAAACGGATATTTCCACGTACCTACATAAACAGAGTTGGTAACTATCCTGATGTCCTCCTTGAATTTGCAGTGATCATTTTATTACAGGTAGAATAAGCCTTTTTACCTTTGAAATATTTTTATTACTTTGAAAGTTTAATATCATTAACTGTTTAACATTTTTATTTTTTTATTTAGGAAAATCTGCTTCTCTTTTCTCACAGAATGATCCTGATTGGGTTCCATCCTTAAATATGGGGCACAAAAAGTTTAAGTTTGAGGTTGAAAAACCTAGAGAAAGATACTTACGACACAAAAATCGTTCATTGTTAACAAGTCCAAATGATTCTATGTCTTGTACTTATTTAAACCCTTCTGAAGATTCAATTGTAGATTTTCAAATAGAGAATTTTAAAAGTAGTGAATCAATTGTCTCAGAAAGTGTTACAATAGATTGTGAAAACTTAGTAGATGCGAGTGTTCAAACTGATATGACTGTCAAATCATATCAATCAAATAGAAACTGTCATATCAATCAAATAGAAACTGAGTTTATATATAAAAACAAACTTAATTATGATTTGCCTGCAAATTTAGTCAAACTCTATGTGGGAACTATTGAATAGTTTGATACCAATTCAAAAGTAACATTTTACACTGGATTGCCAAATTTGAAAATTTTATGGTGTTTATTTAATTTCTTAAAGCCTCTTATAACTGAAAATGAGAACTCAGTTTTATCGTACTTTGAAGAATTTTCTTTGACGCTTATGAGATTGCGTTTAAATCTATCTATTAGAGACCTTGCTTATAGATTTGAAACTTCAAAATCGACCTTATCAAAAGTATTTTTAAGATGGATTGACATTATGTACTTCAGAATGAAACATTTAATTAAATGGCCTGCTCGCAATGAGCTTATAGAAACTATGCCTTTATGCTTCAGAAAATATTTTGAAACAAAAGTGGCTGTAATAATTGATTGCTTTGAAATATTCATAAATAAATTTCTAATCTATGCGCAAGAGCAGCAACTTGGTCACAGTACAAACATCACAATACTGTTAAATTCTTAATGGGTGTAAGCCATTGCTGAGAGTGTTGGTTTTTATTTTGGGGAGCTAAAGATTCCAGGGTTTACAAAAGGAAAGTTACAATTGACTTGTTCAGATGTAGAATATTTCTTTCATTAATTGATTTTTTTGGCTGTAAAATTTGTTAATTAGTTCAGGTAAAATACATTCTTCAAAAAATTGTTTAGATTTTATTATATTCCTGCCCATAAATTCCAAAGCCAGCAATATTCTTTTGCAATACGAGTCTTTTGATGTCCAAATAAAAAAATCACAGTAGTTACTTGATGAAGCATATAACTGACACTCAACTTGATAGTAATTATTATGTGATTTTTTTAAAGATATATAACCAGCTTTATTTTCCAGACAACAATTTTTAAAATCTAATAATTCGCTAATGTATTTATCTCTCATACTATATGGACATTTTATCTCCAGACAACCATTTCCACAACAATCACAAATAATAACTGCATCTGGTGATGCACCAAGGAAGGGTTGTTGAACTGAAATAAAAAACCCACAATTTTTTATTGAAAATTTAGAGTTTCTTTTCCATGGTTGTAGAATACAAAGTCAATGCTTTTTTTTCATGGTCATTTCCCCATTTTGTTGCTGCTGTGCAAAAACGTGCTTGAATGGGGTAACATATTTGCATAATCAAACTGATTGGTGGTTTGGTGATGTTTGCGCAGCATACACTCCCAAATTTTGAAGCAGTTATACGACTTGCCCTAAAGTAAAACCAGTTTTTACTTTTTGCTTGAAGTCGCGTCGTACTCTCAACATTTTTACTTTGCTCAATCGTTATTGTAATTTTTTTTTTTTTTACAAGCAGCTAGGAGTTTTTCAAAGTTTGAAAATTTTAATTTTCTGATAAAGATCTGACAATGATTCAGCATATTTTTCTGTTATTATTGATGGTTCATAAGGTTTTTCCGTTATTACTGACGGTTCATATTCTCCTTAACCCCTTCATCACGTCGGCGCGCATAAATGCTCATAACATCTTTGGCATCGATTTTCAAAACATATGATTCTGTGCAGGCTGCATGGAGAGCACTGCTTTTATGTTCTGATATTCTTTTATAAATATACTTTTAAAGTTATATCCACTAAAGAATCTTGATTGATCTGAGGCTTTGATAAATGCTAGGCAAAATGAACAAAGCAATTTTTGTGTCTTTGCCAGTGACAAGGCCTATTGTTTCTGATATAAAACTTTTGTAAATTAATTTTGACGTTTAAATCAAAATTGTTTTTCTTTGGATGAAATTTAAAAAATGATATCAAAAAATCTGATAAGGGATTTCACAAAAAATTATAGTTGTTTTAAGTTTTTTTACTTGGCCCACATTGATTACTGTTCAATTTATACCGAATGTCAGAGTTTGGATGAGAGGTTACAATTTTCTTTTAGTTACATTTTAGTCTACCGTTTATTATAATAATCAACGGAAAATAAAATTTAACCTAACTAAAAATATGATTTTTTTTTTTTATGGCAACCGGTGCACCGGGAATCTCCCGGTATCCCGGTGGCCCAGTCTAAGCCTGTCTATACCTAGTTGTTTACCTGTACATTAAACTGATACTGTTGAACTTTGATTAGAACTAAACTTGATCCATACCTGATTTATTTTTTGGGTCTTGGTCCGTTGATAACCGACCCATATCTAGACCCGTTTACAAATCGGGTCTCTGTAAATAGGCCCGAATATGTAATATTTTTCTCGTAAAGCGTAATGTTCTACTTAACATAATGTTCTACATAACATTTTGATAACCCTATTGTAGGATACAGATGAATAAAACACTTAGGTCTGAAGTGCATTATCAGGCAACTTCTTATTATTCGAAGAACAATTACTAAATCTACCAACGTTCTTTTATAAAATTATTCAGATATACGTTATTAATTTTTATTGATAAATAACTTTTGAGAAAAAGAAATCTCGTTTAGTTTAATTTTGCCTCACCAAAATGACTATGATAGCAATAAGTCATCTTGATAAAAAACATCTTAATGTTGTACTCTGTATTGGTGGAGTGATGATATGCACAAAATTTTGTTATAACATAATAATAAAATTAAGCATGTCAGGAAAGTCAAAAAATCACGTTGTTAAATTTTTTCATAATTTTTTTAAACCATTTTTTAATTGTGGTTTTCTTATGAGAAGAGAATTTTTTGTAAAACTTCCATCATATCCTATTCGTTTGACAAAAAAGTCCTATGTTATTGTTAATTATGGTTCATATGGTACAGTTCCAATCAAAGTTCAACAGTATCAGTTTAATGTTCAGGTAAACAAATTTAGTATAGTTTAACCTAAACGTTTTTTTTTTGTTGTTATGCTACTTGCTTTTTTAAACCCAAGTGCAATAATAATTCATTAATAAACCAGTTATACTTTAGAAAGAGCTTGAATATTGTCCAGATTTATTTAATCGTTTAACATTGCATAAACGTTACGAGCAAAGTCGGGTAACTGTTGCAAGTGCAGTAGGCTGTGAACCTGATAATCTTGTATTTGTTGAAAATCTTACTGAAGCAATAACATGCTCGCTTCGTTCTCTATTAAATTGTTTAAAAAAAAATGATGCTGTTCTATGTTTACGCAGTGTTGCATATGGTGCGGTTGTTAAAGCTATTGATGTACTTGCTAATGAGTATCATATTGAGGTTGTTGATCTTGACTTGCAGTTTCCTATTTTTTCAAAAAATGATGTACTCATTAAATTTGAAGAAATATTTATAAATTACCCTTGCGTGAAGTTAGCAGTGTTTGATCATATAACAAGTGCGTCCTCTGTTGTTTTGCCAATAAAAGAGCTGGGTGAAATATGCAGAAAATATAATGTTATATCTGTTGTCGATGGCGCACATGCACCTGGGCAACTTTATTTGAACATAGATTCCTACAATGTTGATGTTTACTTAGGTATATATTGGTTTCATAAAAATATGTTTTAAAAATGTTTGTTACAAAGCTGCAAAGTTGCTTTTTATAACTCTAATATAACAATCACTCTATGTTGCTTACTAGTAAAAACTTAAAGTTATTTACTAAAAAAAAAAAAAAAAAAATTCATTTAAAAATATAATCAAAATTGAAGCTTTAGTGAACTTAAAGGTAAAATTTTATAAATAATATATTATTTTATAAAGATTTACATAAATCAATTTAAAATAATTACTAGATTGTTTAAATTGTAAAATGCTTTCTTTTCAAAAAACCTTTTTTTTAATTTTTTTAAATTCTTATTAATATAATCCGAATATACCTGGTGGGAAATTGGCTAGTGAATAGCTATTCTCGTTACGATAAAGACAGCGATTTGGCCACGAGGATTGCTAGCTTTTTTAAGTTTGCGAAAAGCTATCGATATTTGTAAAGATAAAGACAGCGATTTGGCTTCGAGGACAGCTAGTTTAATAAGCTAAAGACTCACAGGCTATTGTAGCTACCGTCATATCGTAATAAAATCGTTGTCTAAAAAATTTTGATATGTAGCTATCAACCAGCTATAGATTTGTAGATATTTTGTAGCTAGCTACAAAGCTACGATATGTAGCTAGCGACACATTGCTACAAAATCACAATGTTTAAAGTTCAATTATCCTCATAATTATAATAGACTCAACACTAAAAATCGAATTTTTAAAGATGTTAGAGACAGTAAAGAATAAAATAAGAAAAAAAAAATCGCGTGAAAATCGCTATAAAGCTAGCTAGTCGCTGGCTAGCTCATTTCCCACCGGGTAGTAATAAAAGAATATATAATTTTATCGTAATAACATTATTATTAGTAATTATAATAATTTTAATATTATTTATAATATATATTGTATTATTTATATATTATCCAATTATATTATATTCGTTAAATAATTAAAATTTATTAACACATTCTCTTTTGTAGCCACAAGCTATCTAAATCTCCATTTTCATTAATTTTCTTGAAAATAAGTAATTAGTAATTTTCTTGAAAATAAGTAAAAAGTTTTTCAAAACCTGATAATAGTTTTTCAAAACCTGTAATATAGTAATTATCATTTTTTTTTTTTTTTTTTTTTTTTTTACATTTATAGTTTTTTAACAATAACGATAAAAGTTTGATTTCAAAAATCCAAAAAAAAATTTAAATTCTGAAGTTTTATCTAAAAATAAAGGATTGTTGAAGTTTTTCATTAAAAACAAGTTTTGAGATTTTTAAGATTATTAAAACAAACAAAAAATTGAAAATTTCAAGTATTTCAATGTTTTTCTAGTAAAAAGCCCCTGCTAGATTGAGTATCTAACCGAGGCTATGTTTGAAAAAATGGCTTTGAAGTTTAAAAATTTTAGCTTTGGTCAGGGACTACTTGGTATATTATATTGTTTTTCAACTTTAAGGAATAAGTTTTTAGCTTTTACTGCATGTGCAGTAAAAGTTTTTTTGGATCTCCAAAACACAAATTTTTAATTTATCTTCTAATACTTAAACAAAATTTAAACAAAATTTTAATGTAATTCAAATGCATTTGTGTTATACATTTGAATGTAAGCAAAGATAAAGTTCTCGAAATTATTTGCCTAAATTTGTAATCAACGTCAATGATCAAATATAATTAATAATAGCACAAAGAATAAAAAGTAGATCATAAGCATGTAAAGTAAACTCGTAAACATGAATGCACAGCTCTGAAAAATAAAATGTTGAAATAGCTCGAATTAAAATAATTGAATAAAAGATTTTATTTCAATTAGGTACATATCAGTACATCAATAAAAAATTTTCACACTAATTAAACTTTTCTTAGTCTTAAACAAACAAAATTACTCTTGATTTTTCAAACAAATTTAGGAAGCAAGATGACTATTTTAAGTTTTATTTATGAACAATAATTATAAAATTGTTTAATAAATTAATAATAAATAATTGTTTCATTTAACAAAATTGCAAAAAGACCACTATTGGTCTGTATTGATAAGAAAAAGATCAATATAAGAAAAAGATTCAAGTTATACTAAAACCAATTAAAAATAAACTATATATTATAGTTTTACCTGGATAAAGCTTATACGTTTCAGGCCTCACATATTTAGGTTTTTTTCCTCAATTACATTTTAGGAAAACACCTAGCAAAATTGAGGAAAATTGTGTAGTTTAGATTAAGGCTTGTCAACCGGTGAAAACCGCAACCTGTTAGCTGGTTTTTTATTTAAGAAAACTGTTTTTTTTTTTAAGAAAAAAAAAACTACATAGTCGTTAATTATACATAATATGAAAGAATTAAAATAGTTTGAAGATTTCTTGTTTTGACAAGCTAACAAGAATTGTGGAAAGCACAAATATGATGAAAATATATATAATTTTGAAAAGCACATTGATGATGCATTTACTTTTACTTATTTCAATATTTTTTTACCATTCCATACAAATAACAGAGCTGTATTCCATTCTACATAGCTATATACTTCATATAAATAACGGAACATACTGTTCTAAACAAACAAACAAGTTGTTTATACTGTTCTAAATAAACAAATTTTTTTCAGAAATCTTTAAAGCAAACCTTGCATTAGTAAAATATTGCAACAAATTACTTTCCTAAATAAATTCTTAATAAAGATTATGAAAAAGTAAGTCAAAATTAAGAACATATTTTTGTAATTTTTTATATTGTAAATTTTTTTTTTTAGGCAATTTACATAAATGGTATTACACCCCAAAAAGTTGTGCTATTATGTGTGTAAATAAAAAGTGGCATGATAAAATGCAACCATCATGGGTCTCACATGCAACATACGGAGGTTTTCAAGACAGATTTTTCATGCAAGGTACAAAAAATTATAGCGCAATGGTTTCAGCTGGCTATGCTGTAAATGAGTTTACTGAATGTATTGGGGGACTGGTAAGTAGTCAATTAAACTTTGTTAACTCAGGTTTAAAGAAACAAGAAATTAATGAATATTTAATTTCTCTTTAGGATCATCTTCATTCCTACATACCACCTCTTATAGAATGGGTTGTCAAATTATACATTTCTAAATGGGAAACTGAAGAAGTTCAAATACCTGCAGATATGAAAGCTCCTTATATGAGAACTGTTTATTTACCAGATATTTTTACTGAGGTTTATGGAAATGCACCTAATGCGCCAGCAAACTTAATGAAGGAGTTTTTGGAGGAAGAAAATGTGGCAGTTGTTATTTTAACTGTCCAAAATCGAATGGCAACAAGGGTTTCTGCACAAATTTTCAGCACAAAGAGGGAGTTTATAATTGTTGCAAACCTAATTAAAAAAAAAGCTGATGAGCTAAGAGTGCTATGTTTATAGCTAAAGAGATTAAAAAATTTTTCAAAAAAGCTGATGAGCTAAAAAGATAAAACAAAATTTATAACTTATTGTTTGAAAAAGTATTTAGTTTTTTTAAAAATTATTTAATTATTTTTTAAAATTTTTAATTATTCAGAAAAATCTGTTTGCTAAAATGAAAGAATGTCTAAATTTTCACATATTATTTTTATAATTGCAAGCTTTTATTAGCTACGAGATTTTATTAGCTAAAAGGTTTTATTAGTTACTAGGTTTTATTAGCTACAAGCTTTTATTAGCTACGAGGTTTTATTAGTTACAAAGTTTTATCAGCTACAATGTTTTATTAGCTACAAGGTTTTGTAAGCTACTAGGTTTCATTAGTTACTAGGTTTTATTAGCTACAAAGTTTTATAAGCTACAAGGTTTTATTAGCTACCTTGTAGCTTTACAAGCTACAAGGTTTTATTAGCTACGAAGCTTATAAGCTACAAGGTTTTATTAGTTACAAGCATTTATTAGTTACATTAATAAAAATTAAAAAGTTTAAAAATTGAAATTTTAAAAAGTCTTTTTAAAACTGACAAAGATAAAGCATTTGTATTTTTGTTTATTTATATGTGATTCAAAAACACTTACAACCTGAGTTTTATCAAAAAATTTCAAGAAGTTGCGATTATGTAAGGTTTTTAGTTAATCATAATTACAACACCTCTCCCCTCCTTCACCAAATGGTTTGTAAGTTTTAAGTGGCTTTAATTTCTGTGTCATATATACGACAGAATATTGAATCTAAATAAATCAAACTTAATCTTCATTTAAAAGTCAAAAAAACTTTCTGCTTTAATTTTATCATTGAATGTACCATTGCCACCACTTTTTAGAATCCAAGTTTACTTTTTGCGATTTTTTATGAAATCTTCTTTCTAATATTGAAAAACATTTCAAAAAAGTTTTATTTTATTTTTAACTTGCAAATTCTACATAGGCACTCTATGAAAAGTTTGTGAACTTTAATCAATCGTATTTGAGCTCTTGCTTGTTTTTATAAATTCTCTTCTCTTTTTTTTTCTATATATATATATATATATATATATATATATATATATATATATATATATATATATATATATATATATATATATATATTGCTGGTTATATAACAATATTACAAAATTGATAAAAGAAAAAAAAAGAGAAGAGAATTTATAAAAACAAGCAAGAGCTCAAATACGATTGATTAAAGTTATCACAAACTTTTCATAGAGTGCCTATGTAGAATTTGTAATATATATATATATATATATATATATATATATATATATATATATATATATATATATATATATATATATATATATATATATATATATATATATATTAATATATTTTACACTTTTCCAATTTTTAAACATAAACTCAAAAATTTAATTTTATTTTCTGATGACATAATAAGGTTCTTCTAATTGTAATTATGTACCTTTATTTAGAACTTTTTAATTGTAAAATACGTTTTATGTTAATTGTAAAATACGTTATATGTAACGACTCTTTTTGTTTTACTTTTCTTTTTGTTTTACTTTTTATATGTAACGACTCTTTTTGTTTTACTTTTTATCTTTTTGTTTTACTATTTACTTTTACTGTTTATTTTATAAATAGATTATATACATTGTAAATAATTATGCTAAATGCTTGTAAAAGGTTCTGATGATAAGATCAGTACGATCTTCTTTCAGAAACCTTGTTTGTATTTGTTAAAGTATTGTATTACGACAAATGTAAACTTAAAATGTAATAAAAAAAAAATATATATATATATATATATATATATATATATATATATATATATATATATATATATATATATATATATATATATATATATATATATTGCTGTATATATATATATATATATATATATATATATATATATATATATATATATATATATATATATATATATATATTGCTGTATATATATATATATGTACATTTAGCTACATATATATGTAAATTTAGCTGATAACATATTTAAAGCTTAAGCAATTTTTTTATTAATTTTGTTCTTCTTTTAAAATTGTTAACATTTAACCCTTTCGCGACTGAGTTAAAAACAGCTGTATGACTGCGCGTAAAGTAACAAACTAGGATCATGACTGATTAAAAGAATAACGAACTAGGATCAAGATTGATTAACAGAATAACGAGCTAGGATCATAATCGATTAAAAGAATAACGAACTAGGATCATGATCGATTAAGAATAACGAACTAGGATCATTATCAATTAACAGAATAACGAACTAGGATCATGATCGATTAAAAGAATAATGAACTAGGATCACGATCGATTAAAAGAATAACGAACTAGGATCATGATCGATTAAAAGAATAACGAACAAGGATCACGATCGATTAACAGAATAAAGAACTAGGATCATGATCAATTAAAAGAGTATAAAATAAAAAGTGCTAGTCAAAATTTTACAAAAACTTTGTTTTGTTGTTAAAGAATTTCTTAAATTGATTTTAAGAAATTAAAAAACTTTAAATAATTTTTTGTTATCTTAGTAACGTAATCAAAATATATCATATTGAAATTAACAAAAATATATAGTTTCTTTATGTAACCTTAAACAAATAAAGAAGAAATACATAAACATATCGTTTTCGATATTATATAAATGAGGCATTTATAGTGGTAATCATACAAAAAAAATCACCACCATTGAAATCATATCATTGAAAAAAAATATCAGGGATCTCATTTATATCAATAAAATTTAATTTATTTTGTAAAATTGATTTATGAGCGATCTTTAAATGCAATAAACAAACGGTTTGAAGCATTAGCTTATAAAATTATTCACATTTCAAAGATAAATTTAAGATTTCCCCCAATTGCTGTAGATCTTTTTAAATATATAAAATTGTTTATGAATCGTCATTCGGGTCACTTGTCTTTTAGCAACAAACTTTATGAACCGCCAAAAGGGTCACTTGTCACGAAATGGTTAAAATAGGGTTTATATTTCCATTTGAACGCACGCGTTTTCATCCCTAATTAAGTAAAGAGCGTGGAATAAATTTTTTATTTTATTTAACAGTATGTAAAAATTCTTTTTACATACTGTTAAATTTAACATACTGTCGGAGATGAATCAAAATTTGAGATGAAACAAAGCGATGGAGGGTAATTTTATAATGAATACTTGACGTCGCTATTTCTAGCTTCAATAAATTTAGATTTTAGAGGTAAGAGTAATAATTTTAAATTTTAATTTATATTCTCTATTATTTTATTTGTAACTTAAAAATCTAAATTATAAGTTATGATTGGATATAAATATGGATTACTATTTTGATTATTTTTTATTTGTAATTAGAATCCAATCAAAAGTTCTTCAAAAATGGGAATGGAAACTTCTTGAAGCATTCGAATTAATTGCTCACCACAATAAGACGTTACAAGATCATATGCATTTTATTGCTAAGTACCGAGGAGAAGAAAAATGCATGCAAGCTCATTATTTATCCTGGAAATCACAGAATGAATTTATCGAGGGATACGGCAAATTAGTGGTTCACCTGTCCTATGAAGATCGACTCCAACGGCTCGGTTTAACAACTCTTGAAGAACGCCGCAAAAGAGCAGATCTTATCGAGCAATTCAAAATCGCTCGTAAACTCAAGCTTGTCAGTTTTGTCGTCCCGCAAAAATTTTAAAAAAGTAAAGATAAGTATATTCTAAGAAGCCATAATCATAAACTAGAACGTCAGATGGTAAAAAACTGTGAGGATCGATATAACTTTTTTTCAAATAGAATTGTCGCCCCATGGAATGCGCTTTCGCAAGAAGCAGTGAACGCTCAATCCATCAACGCTTTCAAAAACAACATAAGAAAGTAACTTTATAGATACAACTGTTGCTTTGTCTGTAGCGTCTGTATCTCCATGTTTTTCAGCATAGAGGGACCTGGTGTAGCACCTCTTCATCAAATTATAAATGGATTATTGTATTTGTATTTGATCACTGAAATAAATAATAATAATAATAGTTTTTATGACAATTTATTTAAAAAAAAAAAATATTTCTATACTTCGACTAAATCAACTTTTAGTCGATTTTTAAAACTTATAGTCAATTTAGTCGACAGTCGATTTATTTAATAGTCGCAACAAGACTAGTTAAATTAAAATTTGATTATTTTGCGCAACTTAAGGATTTTGAAAATATGTCAAACATTCTTCAAATGCACTTTAATCAAATGTAAACTTAGCTTTGTTAAAAACTTTTATTGAGGAAAAGAAGAAAACTTTAACATTTTCGAGAAAGAAAAAAAAAATCTTTAACATTATTGAGAACAGAGTTAATCAAGTCCAAAAAATCATTTAATGAGAGAAATATTAAGAAAAAAAGTATAATACCGTGATACTCAGTCGCAAATAAAATAGAATAAAATTAGTTCCTTAAAAAAAGAAACAAAATTAAAATATCATAACTAAAAAATAAAACAATAATTATTAATTTATTTCTTGAACGTTCAGATATAAACATTTCTGAATTAAACTAAGAGAAACTAAGTTGCAAAAAAAGTTTTAAAATTTTAAAATTGCTTTACAAAATACAGTGAACTCCCGATATCTCGAACCTCCAAGTGACCTAGAAAATAGTTCGAGTTAGCGAATGTTCGAGTTATCGGAACATTCTATATCACGAACTTTTGCGGATGAGTAAAAACAATTCGAGTTATTAAAAGTTTTGATCTCAAAAGTAAAAATAATACGTTATAAATTGAAAAATGTTCTAATGTCACTCTGTTTTAGTTTTGAAGAAACGTCTCTATCGAATGTAATCAAGATTGCATTGAGCTTTTGTTGCAAATCTTCACCCATAAGACTGAAGGGCATATAGTCATACAACACTTGCAGTACCTCCCGAATATCACTAACTTTTGGGCAAACTGGATCCGTTTCATTATCGTCATCATTATCTTCCACGTCGTTAGCGTCATGTTCATTCGCTGCAATTTTAACTTCTTCTATCAACTGTTCATCTGTAAGTAAAGGTTCTGCGCTAATTAAGTTTTCATCTGCAAAAATAAGATCTTCAGCTGTTGTACCTGGAGGGTAAAAATTATCAAGTTTTTCTATCTGATTTTGAACCTCTTTAAAGGGGTCGTCGTCTTCATCCGAATAT